AGGGGAAAAAAATGAGCATTGAAACCTCTGGATACAGAAAGAGCTAAGGCCTGTAATTTTAGTACTTAAAGAGACTGAGGCACATGGGCAACACACACACACACACACACACACACACACACACACACACACACTGAATTTAATAAAAAGATGGAAGGGAGATGAGTGGAATCAACTGAAGACTTATACTTTAATAATTTATTTAACTATATACCATTGTGATCTCTTTCAATTCTTAATCTTTTTTTTTTTTTTTTTTTTGGTTTTTCGAGACAGGGTTTCTCTGTGTAGCTTTGCGCCTGTCCTGGAACTCACTTGGTAGCCCAGGCTGGCCTCGAACTCACAGAGATCCGCCTGGCTCTGCCTCCCGAGTGCTGGGATTAAAGGCGTGCGCCACCACCGCCCGGCCAATTCTTAATCTTTTGGTCCTTGTTTAAACGCAGAAATTAACTTAGATGGGCATGATGGTACATAGCTTTAATCCCAACCTCCTGAAGGCTGAGATAAGAGGATTGTGAGTTCAGAGCCAGCTTGGACTATGTTTCAAGTCCTTGTCTTGATTCCCCCATTAGTCACCACTCCAAATACTCATCTCAGCCTCATGAGTGTTGTTTTGTTTTCTGAGATGGGTCTCATATATCCCAAACTGACCTAATGCTATTGTCTGCTTATAAGTTCTGAGATGATAGGCATTACTATCATACCCAGTTTAGATGGAATATTTTTCAGAAATAATGCACAAGAACACTGCCTTTTCTTCTTCTTCTTTTTTTTTTTTTTTTTTTAATGCTGAATGCTGTTTATTGAAGGAGGGAAGAGGTCTTAAATACAGGCTTACAGCACAATGGGAGAACCCCTGGAGGGCAGAAGTTCGCTACCAATGTTTTACACTCTTGTATCTAAGCTGTTAATGCCCATTATGCAGGATACACAGACAAGGAACTTCCCTTAAGCATTCAGGAGGGAGGGTGGGACCTAGCAGGGAATTAGCATAGGGAGGATATCAAGATCAAGGTCAGCAAACAAGGCAATAGTTACCCAAAACGGGGGCCAGGGCCCTACAGGTCCCCCTTTTACTAAAAAATGAGCTTCTGACTTAGGTTGCATGGGACGTCAGCAGGTCACCTTACCCGTCATGGAGACACCTGCCCAGGCCACACAGGCGCTCTGTCTTAGGTTGGTGACCGCCCCCCCAGGCATTACCTGTCTCTGAATACTCATTATACAGGCTCGATTGTGTGTGAGCTGCAGAGTTAATTGCTGCCAAAGATCTCAAAGTGGCACTGGGCTTGCAGTCTATGTGTTCGACACAGAAAAGACCAACAGAGGTCCTATCCCACCCATAGCCAGTAGGCTAAAAGCAACTGAGCCATTCCCTTTCTTAACGAGCCTTACTGCAAATTGGAGTCCTTGTAAGATGGTATCCCAAAAGCAAATGGAACTTGAGTTTATAAATTTATAATTTTCAAAGCCAATTGAGATGTATATCACTATTGAATTAAATTTATCATGCCCAATAGAATGAAAGATTAACTAACTGAGGTAGCTATTTTTGCTGCCAGGGTCTCCACTGTGTTAGCTGTACTAAGCAATTATGAAATGGTAATCCCAGAAACAGTAGCAGCGGTGTCCACCACTGCTATAACAGCAACAATGGCAGCAGCAATGTCAAATTCTCTTCTGGAGCATGTGGACATCCACTGGCATGGATACAACTCCAGGAACACGAACCGCCAAGGCCCATTTTTCTTGATCTCAGCACGACTTAGGCTGGCAACTCTTCTGGAGAATCCAAAAGCATGGCTACAGTTCCTAGGCTTATTATGTTAATGCTTGCCAAAGCTGGCCATATTGGGCTCTCAATTCCCATTGGCATCAGAAGGGGAGAGTTTTTCATTAAGGCCCAATAGATCTCTGTCATGTTGAGTTTCAGCAGCAGCCACAGGGCTCACACAGCGCTCAGGAATCCAAAGAGGAACCTCATTGTCCTAAGGAACGATACAAACAGAACCCCGGGCCCACACCAACTCCAGATCGGGTCTCCTCCAAGTGCTAGTAGAAAGATCCTTCCATCGCTCCAGAGGGTGATTTGCAACAGGAGACCTTAAGCAGTTCAAATTTTCTTTTCTTTTTTATTTTTTTTTATTTTCACTTTTTCAAATTAATCAATTTATCCACCTTTCTATTACCAGCTTGATACAGAATGTATTCCCATCTTAATTGTGAAATGTTTCATTGAGGCTTGCTCAGTAATTGAGTAAAACCAAAACTTATTATAAGCCACAGTCGTCCTAGGGTCCCCCATGCTATATATATAGTCTCCATGGTTCTGTGGGTTGTAGAACACTGCCTTTTCAAAGTGTTTAACTTTAAAGTGGTAAGGTTTAGGGGGTCTGTTTTATGCTTACAAATTAAGGAAGAAAATATTTTTAATATTTATGTTTTTTGAGACAGAGTCCTTTTATGGGCCAGAAGAATGACCTTGAATTTATGGCCTTCCTCTTGACTCATCTTCCTCAATGCTATGGTGTTGGATATAAGCCACTATGCTCAGATGGAAGTTTCCCTTAAATGGAGAAACTTTTGATTGACGTATACTGCTTTATATTAAATTTGAAAGCTTGTTTATATGTGCATTTGTGGAAATGTTTCAAGAGTCTTTTTGTGTTGCCAGGCGGTGGTGGTGCACGCCTTTAATCCCAGCACTCGGGAGGCAGAGCAAGGCAGATCTCTGTGAGTTTGAGGCCAACCTAGGCTACCAAGTGAGTTCCAGGAAAGGCGCAAAGCTATACAGAGAAACCCTGTCTCGGGGAAAAAAACAAAAACAAAAACAAAAAAAAACCTTTTTGTGGTTTCATAAGGACTTTTTCATGTACTGAAATTTGAACTTGGGGGCCTTCACCGTAAACATAGGCTATACTACTGAAATGTATCCTTAGCCCCTGAACTTATGAATTTTAAAGTAATAAAAAATTTCAGTATCAACTTGGTATGGAACCCCATTTCTCCAAAGGTAAATGATTCTCCTATATGAGTACTGTCCTCTCTCTTTTTTTCTTAGCATTCTTCATTTTGTGTGTGTGTTGTGTGTGTGTGTGTGTGTGTGTGTGTGTATGTGTGTGTGTGTGTGTGTGTGTGTGTAGTCCCATTCTAGTATAGTTAGGTTTTTCTCTTTCAGAGAGAGAGAAAAAAAGACACCATCCCTTACCCCCACCCCTTAAACTACAGATTGTTTTCTTGGTACTTTCAATTTTTTTCTATTTTCATTGTTAAATTTTTTAAATTTCATTTTATGTGTATGAGTATTTTGCCTCTGTGTATTTCCCGTATATATTTCTGTGCACTACTTGTGTGCCTAGTTCACACAGAGGCCAGAAGAAGGCAATGTATCTCCAGGAACTGTGGTTACAGACAATTTTAAGCCATTGTGTGGGTACTGGAAATTTGGAAGAGCAGCCGGTGTTCTTACCTCCCCCTTTTCATGTCTTAAAACAGACTTGCTTCATAAAGATGTAGAGTTAGAAAGGATTCTAGTGCTGGATCATTGACTCAGTAGTTCAAAAAGCTTATATTATGACCCAAAAAGCTGAAACTACTAATACAGTCAGAATCTTTAGGTGAATGTTGTGGCACATGACTATGCTCAGAACTCAGGAAATTAAGGCAGAAAGATTTGTGAGTTCAAAGACAGCTTGGGCTTCATAGTGATTCTGTCAAGAGGGAGAAGTAATTGGGGATGGGGAAGACAGACATAAGATCCCCACGAGGAGCTGGTGAGCTAGACTGGCCTGAATTGACAAGCTCCAGGTTCAGTGAGGAACTCTGCTTCAATAAAATGCAGGGGCGGAGAAAGATAACTTGACATTAACTTCAGATCTAACATTCACATAGATGCATTCACACACATACCCCACATACACATTCCAAATAAAACTAATGTTTAATTTTGAGGCTAAGTCTTACTATATAGTTCAGTTTCACCTCAAACTCAATGTCTTTTTGACTTGGGTCTCCCAAGTACTAGAATCATAGGCATGTGCCACCAACTAAATGAAAAACTTAATTTTGTTTGCTCTCATAAATAACTTCTTTTATATGATGATTATAAAGTCTGGATTTGAAATTGTTAGGCACAGACTCAGTCTGAGGTATTACATAGCTTCTAAGAAATAGGCACATTTGGGACCTGTTTTAAGAAGTTCCTGGTTCAGTTGCACAGACTATTCCATTTGTGTTTCACCCTCCTTTTTTTGTTTTTTTGTTTTTGTACTCAGAGTTATTTGAGTTCATGAATTCATTATTTACAAAAGTAGCCCACTGTAGTAATTCTTTATATACACATTTATGACAGACTAACTGAAAACCTTCCCTTGCTCATGGTGATCTAATAAAGTCTAGTTGATAATTTATCAGGTACAATGAAGTACTCTAATTTGATAAGATTCTAGATCTGGTAGGTCAGAATAAAAGGAGTAATGTGTAAGACAAGCTTTGTAGGTGAATTAGAGTGAAAGAAAAAGGGGAATGTGAAGGTCTAAATCTTTCTTTTAAATTTACATGCACATGCACATATATGCCACAATGAGATCTTGGAAGCCAAAGGAGAACTTATGGAGTCAGCTCTCCTGCTCCATCATGTATATATTATCAGGCATAGCAGCAAGCTCCTGTACTTACTGAGTCATCTCTGGCTTGTGTCAGAGTCCTAACATCTTGCTGAATTTGTCGCTGTTCTTCAACTTTTTGTTGAAGCCTTTTTGACAGGGTTAGAATCCAAGGCCTTGCACAGAAGGGTGCAAGTGCTCTACCACTGAGCTTACCTACAACCCTGAAATAAATTTCAGGGAAATAAAGCTGTTGCTTTTCCAGGCTGTTTTAGAGCCATAGGGTAAGGGAAAAGGCCGCTAGTTAACAAACTCCCTTCCCCAACCAATTTGAGATTAATTCCTAAGCTTGCAGTTTATACCACTCACACTGTTTTTCTACTCTTTGTCCTACAGGGGTTGATAGTCCTTGGGGAGGCACCTTTCCCAGACCATACAACAGACTTATTTTCACTTAGTTCTGAGGTGAAGACAGATCATGGGACTGATAAATTGGTAAGTATAAAAGATAGAAAAGGGGGGAAAAAATAAGGTAGCTCTTAACAGGTCAATCAACTACAGCTAGCTCAAACTCTAAGTTAGAGTAGTGGTTGAAATCAGGGCACTGTTGTTACAACATGCTCATACGTTTTTGATGGGGTAACTTTACTGAACCAGTATAACGTGTGCAGGTGCGTGCGTGCGTTTGTGTGTGTGTGTGTGTGTGTGTGTGTGTGTGTGTGTGTGTGTGTGTGTGTGTGTGTGAGAGAGAGAGAGAGAGAGAGAGAGAGAGAGAGAAAGCTTTTTCAGTAAAATGTAGGATTAAGGCTGGGGATGAAGCTTACTTGGTAGAGGGATTGTATGTCATGCACAACTCTGTAGTTCCGTTCTCAGCACTGCTTAAGCCAGGTAATTCCAACACTTGGGAGGAGCATCAGAGCATCAAGGTCATCTTTTGCTACCTAGTTAGTTTGAGCCAAGATTAGGATTAGCCTTCGGGAGAAGAGGAAGTGTGATAAAGATGTCCCATTTAGGGTCAGACATCATTAAAAAGATTGTAAGAGCCATAGATGTTTAATGACAGCTAGGAAACAGTGTCTTTCAGTCATAGCAGGGCAGTTGCACATATAAATTCATAGTGGTTATGACAGTATGTGTAAGACCTGTATAGACTCTCTAGCCAGACAAAATACCAACATAGAGAGGAGAGGTAGTCACAAAGCCCTACCTATAGCCAAGAAGTTGCTGCCCACTGGCAGCTGCTGAGAGAGAGTTAGTTTTTTCCAGTGGAAGGCCACTCATTCAGGAGTATATAGACAGCATAGTTGGACTTTGTCGGCTAGGGGCACTGGGGGTTGGAGACAGACTCTCTTATGTAGTCCAGGCAATCCTGGAACTCACTGTGTAGACCAGTCTAGCCTTGAACACACAAATCCTCCTGCCTCTGCTTTACAGAGTGCTGAGATTAAGATTAAAGGCATATGTCATTGTGACTGGCTAGATTTTTTTTTATTGTTACATAAATTTGGTTGTGTAGGAAAGGGAAGAGTAGATCTGGGAGGAGTTGGGACAGGTATGTCTGTAAATATGATCAAACACATTGTACAGAATTCTCAAAGAACAAATAAAAAGAGCAAAGGGTTAAAAAAAAAGTCAGATTAGAGAACACCACAGAAATACCAAAAATACTTTTGTGAATGATTCTTGCTTTGTAATGAGAATGAAACTGTCATCTTAATAATCTTCTATATTATTAGGTCCTGGTTCAGATTTTTTTTTATCCTTTCTCCTTAAAAAGGTACTGACTTTTATGAATATTAACATTACTTGGTAGAAGTTTCAGTGACTTTGAAACTATAGACTTTGTTGATGTTAATGTTTTCTTTTGGCTATGCTTCCTAAGAGAAGAAGAAATTGTGAGTGGTGGTTGTTTAAGTTAAACTAAGGAGTTTACTTTTATCTGCAACCCAAAATACTTAGTCATCACTTATTTTCTATTATTATTAGTATGAACTCATGATTTGGTGAAAACCAGTTTTTTCCCAAGGAAGAGATTAGAGATGTGTGAATCTTGGATTGGTCTTTATCTAGTTCTGCTATTTTGGATTCATGCTTGCTTTTTCTTGTCTTGAGACCCAGTCTTGCTGGGGCGGCGGCGGCGGCGGTGGTAGTGGTGGTGCACACCTTTAATCCCAGCACTCGGGAGGCAGAGCCAGGTGGATCTTTGTGAGTTCGAGGCCAGCCTGGTCTACAGACCGAGATCCAGGACAGGCACCAAAACTACACAGAGAAACCCTGTCTCAGAAAAAACAAAAACAAACCAACACAACAAAATCCAGGGTCTATACTGTAGAAACACTGATTATAGTGTAACATTACTAGAGATGAACGGGTATTGATAATGTTTGAAGGAGAAAAAAAAATATTGTATTTTGCTACATAGTGAGTTTGAGCCACGATTAGGAACTATGGGCCTTGTCTCCAAAAAAAAAAAAAAAAAACCCACACAAACATCAAAAGTTGGATTAGCCTTCGGGAGAGGAGGAAGTGTGATAAAGATGTCACGTTTAGGGTCAGACATCATTAAAAAGATTGTAAGAGCCATAGATGTTTAATGACAGCTAGGAAACAGTGTCTTTCAGACATAGCAGGGAAGTAAAAAAATAAATTTTTTTTTCTCCTTCAGAACTACACGGAGAAACCCTGTCTCAAAAAACGGGGGGAGAGAGGGGGGGGTCTTTAGGCAGGGGTGGCACACACCTTTATCCCAGCACTTGGGAAGCAGAAGCAAACAGATCTCTCTGAATTTCAGAGCAGCCTAGAATTCTCTAGCCTGGTCTAGAGAGCTAATTCCAGGATAGCCAGGGCTACACAGAGAAATCCTGTCTCAAACAAACAAAAAAAGAATGGAGAACTGGGTCTTAATAAGTTTCTCAGGCTGGCTTCGAGCTCTGTTAATTACTACTTTTCCTGTTGCTGTGATTAGATAACCTGATGAAAGAATGCTCATGCTTCCAGGGTACAGTATGTCATGGCAGGGAAGTCAGGGAGCTTGTGACATAACTAGTCACACATTCTACCAGCAGTCAAGAATCCAAGAGCCATAAATTCTGGTGCTCAGTTATCTTTCTTCTTTATGTAGTTTAGGACCCTATCCCAGGGAATGGGTTAGGTTAGCCTAATTAAGATAATTCATACACAGCCCTCTCCAGCCATCAAGAAACCTTATCTTTAAAACACACACACACACACACACACACACACACACACACACACACACACACACACACACACACACACACACAAGGCTGGAGAGATGGCTTAGAGGTTAGGAACACAGGCTGCTCCTCCAGAGGAGTGAAGTTAAATTCCCAGCATCTATGTGGTAGCTCATAACCATCTATGACTCCAGTCTGAGGGAATCCAGTACCTCTGGCCTTTGCAGGCTGTGTGTGCACATGGTGCACAGACATGCAGGCAAGACAAAGATAGTAAAGTTAGTAAGTCATTACCAATACAAAGAAGAAAAGATAAAAATTGCCAGCATGAAGAAAAACTATCACTACAGATTTTACAAATAATAAAATTGTATAAACAGCTTAATGCTGCTTTGGCTACATAGATGAAATACTCAAATTCTATAAGCAATACAGATTTTGAGACTGACTGCCCCTTTCTTTTACCCCTCCCCATCAATGAACATCACAGTCTCTAATAGAGAAGATAATGTTTCCATATAACTTACATGTACCTCCCCATATACTTTGTCTCTTAAATAACATTTAAATTACCTCTAATACATAATATACATTGTATGAGGGAATAATAACCCCAAAAGTCTGTGAATGTTCAATACAGATATGTTTTTTCTGACTATTTTCTATTCATTGTGTGTTGACTCCATAGTGGTGGCATTTATGGTTACAGTGAGCCAAATATAAGTAAGTGAATAGCCATATTTTTGTTTAATAAATTGAATTTAGTTTTGCAAACATTTTCAAACTAAATTGATAAGTCTAGTGTACCCTGCCGGGCGGTGGTGGCGCACGCCTTTAATCCCAGCACTCGGGAGGCAGAGCCAGGTGGATCTCTGTGAGTTCGAGGCCAGCCTGGGCTACCAAGTGAGTTCCAGGACAGGCGCAAAGCTACACAGAGAAACCCTGTCTCGAAAAACCAAAAAAAAAAAAAAAAAAAAAAAAAGTCTAGTGTACCCAAAATCTGATAGAAAAATTTCTAACCATTTTTGTTCCTTCTGAACGCAGAAGCAAAAACCTTCAATAACATAGTAGCAGATCAAATGAATGAATATAGGATGTGTCATAAACAACAAAAAGGCTTCTATTGGTGCACCATTAGAGTTAGAGGCCATCATTAGAGTTAAAAGCCAACGGGATAGGCTGCTTCAGCAAGTAAGAATGCTTGCCACCAAGCCTGATAACCCGAATTCAATCCGTGGGACTCGTGGTGAAAGGAAAGAAAACTCCCACAGGTTATCTTATGGCCTCCACAAGTGTACTTTAGTATGCATTTCCCCACACACAAATAAATGTAACTTAAAATGTTTAAAGAAATAAAACTGTCAGTAAACTGTGGCTAGAAGCAAACTTCCTTAGAAAACATATATTCACTGTTAATACTACTTGGTAAAACACAGTGCATTTTTGCCTATGTAGAAGAAGGAATATTGCAAAGGCATTGTACTTTGTCATAGCTAGGATATAAGGCATTCAGATTGGAAAATACAAAGCAAAACTCAGTTTTGAAAACTTTATGCAGAAGTCATTAGACCTTTCATATAAAGATCTCACGATAAAAGGTCAATACATGGCCGGGCAGCAGTGGTGCATGCCTTTAATCCCAGCACTCGGGAGGCAGAGTCAGGTAGATCTCTGTGAGTTCGAGGCCAGCCTGGTTTACAGAGCGAGATCTAGGACAGGCACCAAAACTGCATGGAGAAACCCTGTGTGTGTGTGTGGGGGGGGGTGTCAATACATTAAATTCAGTTGCATTTCGATTTATTGGCAACAAGTAATTGAATAATTACCATCAAGAAACAGTAAAGCGGTGGTAGCACATGCCTTTAAACCCAGCACTTGGGAGGTAGAGGGAGATAGAGCTCTGAGTTTGAGGCCAGCCTGGTCTACAGAGCAAATTCCAGCACAGCCAAGGCTGCACAGAGAAACCCTGTCATTAAAAAAGAAAGAAAGATAAAGTAAAGCTGAGTATATGATAGTACACACATGTAATAACATCACATGCTAGTTAGGAGCAGCAATATCAGGAGTTCAAGGTCAACCCTGACTATATAGTCAGTTTGAGGCCAGCCTGGGATACATGAGACTGTCTCCAAATTAAGAGGAGGAAGAAGAAACCAGAATAGAGAGAATGGCACATGGTGTGCAGTCAGTTACTTTTCATCAAATGTTAAGATAATTCATTGTGGGTGAGGGATGTGGCTCAGTGAATTTATGTAATAGCCCTTATTTGAAGAAATCTAAAGAAATTTTTTAAACAGT